CACACACACACACACACACACACACACACACACACACACACACACACACACACACACTCACTCACTCACTCACTCGCTCGCTCACTCACACGCGCGCAAACGCACATACGCACACACACACACACACGCACCACAATCCAATACACAAACGCAGCACAACACGCGAATCAGTTCTGCTGCATTCACTCAACCGCCCGTTCGCAGTCCTCGTCCTTCCGGCGCGTCAGCACCTCAACGCCCTGCATGGAGTTGTGGCCGTGGTGGTGGCAAAGGTTGGGATGGTAAGCATGCAAAGCCATGTGCCCATGCAATGCACACACACAGACACGCACACATACACGCACACACAGACACACACAGACACACACACGCACGCACACATACACGCGCACACACACACACGCGCACACACACAAACACACACACACACACACGAGTACCTCTTCGGTGATGAGGACGGTGTGCTCGGCCTGCGCCGACCGCTGCCCGTCCAGCGTGACCGCCGTCCACTCGTCGGCCAAGATGCGGAACTCCGGCGAGCCCTCGTTCAGCGCGGGCTCAATCGTGAACACGTGCCCGGGCTTCATGACGTAGTCCTCGTCGTTGTAGTAGTGCAGCACTGCCGGGGGCGCGTGGAAGGAGGGTCCGATGCCGTGACCAATAAAGTAGGGGCAGATGCTCAGCCTGTAGAAGTCTGCCACAGCCTCCACAGCCTCGCCTATAGCGCAGTAGGGCACGCCTGGCCCGCATGTCGCAATGGCATCGTGCAGCGCCTTCTCTGCGCCTTCGATGAGCCGCTCGGCAGACCGGTCCACCGCGCCAACCGCAAACGTTCGCGACGTGTCCCCTGGACGTGAGAGGGTGGAGAGAGGCAGAGAGAGAGAGAGACAGCGAAACACAGACAGGCAGAGACAGGGAAAGCGAGCAAGAATGGCGCATTGTGAGTCACAACACCCGTAATAACAATACCCCACAACAGCAATACAACACGCACAACAACAACAAGAGCTGACCACACTGTATCCAGATCATAACCACCACCACGCACGGCGATCTCACCGTGCACGCCGTTGAGGAAGACGGTGACGTCGATGTTGATGATGTCGCCCTCTTGGAGCTCACGGTCATCCGGGACACCGTGGACAATGACATTGTTCACTGATGTGCAGATGCTCTTCTTGAAGCCCATGTACCCCAGCGGCGACGGATACGCGCCCGCCGACACAATAAACTCGTGCGCCAGTTCGTCCAGCGCATCTGTCGTCACTCCAGGGGCGATGTGCGATGCCGTGTACGCCAGCGTATCTGCGGCAAGCCTCCCTGCGTCCCTCATGCGTCCCAGCATCTCCCCTTGCAGCGGCTTGATGCGTGACTGGGTCGTGTGCATGTCGGCTGCTCGTGCAATCAGCGCCCGAACGTACGACGGCTTCTCAATGTCATCCGGTACCACGCGTCGCGGCGACACCTCTCCAGGCGCGGCAATCTTCTCATATCCACTCACACGCGTCGTGGCAATGCCACGCGCAGCGTTGATCGTAGGCTTGCAGCATCGGCGGCCACCGCTGCACCACAAACGCTGCAACAGCATCTTGATCTTGGTTTGTTGTTGGTTGTTGTTGATGGTTTGTGGTGTTGCGTTCTTGTTTTCCCCCCTTCTCTTCTTCTCTTCTTCTCTTCTTCTCTTCTTCTTCGTTTCACTTCTTCGATTCGCGTTGAACACCACCACCACTCTACTTGACATCATCATGCTCATAATAATGTTCGATCGTTCATCATACGCAATACACGCAACACACATGCACTGTATGCACAGGCTCGATGCAGGTCTCTTCTGCGGCTCATATCAACAATATCACAGATACAAGCAAGCCACAAACGCTTCTCGCTGCACTGCTGCACCCTTCACAATGTCACATCACGCTGTGCGCGGGATGGTGGACAGCAGCGTTTGCAGCTTGCCTGTCTGGGCCATGGCATCCAGCGTGGCACCGTTGCCAATGTGCCGCCCATTGACAAACACCTGCGGCACGCTGCAGCACACACCGCACCGTGCAAGCAGTTCCCGCGCAAACGCCGCGCTCGCAGCGACATCGCGCTCTTCAACTTCAACATGCTCCCCGTCTCGCAGCAACGCAAGCACACGCGCACACGTCTCCCGCTCCTCCGCACGCGCAACAACGCCGCTCGTGTACACGACAATCTTCCCGCCATCAAGCTCGGCAGCAGCTGCCTCTTCCTCTGCCAGTCGCCGTCGCAGCAGCACTGCATCGTCGTCGCCTTCAACACCGCCACCGCGTCCACCACTACTACCCCTGACCACGCCAGCGCTCGTGCCGCCTTCCCTCGTCCCTGCCGGCTGTGCATGAAGGTCCGCACCTGAGGCTGTGGAGCAGTTGCGGACGAAGCGGGCGACATTGAGCCGCACCATGCCCACCCGACCCATCAGCGTGCCTGCCACAATACAACGCACATAACACACGCACACACACATACACAGCAGCGAGGTCCACGTGTACGCAATGGGGTTGGGGTAACCAGTGTGGAGTGAGGTTAGGAAGAGGTGGGAGATGGGACAGTTTCAATCAGCATGCTAAAAGAAAGTCGGTGTGGCTGTGACAACCAAACAAGCAAACAACCAAAAGCACACACACACACACACACACACACACACACACACACACACACACACCTGATCGAGCGCGGATCTCGGGCTTTGCATCACTGTGTTTCGGTGAAGACTCCACCTGCTGCTGCCGCTGCTGCCGCTGCTGCTGCTGTTGTTGTGGTGCTGCCGTGGAGGGGTCGTCCTGGTCTGAGACACCTGGCACGGGTTCACCTCCCCTGTGGTATGCAATCATGTTGCCGTGGATATACCGGCCAGCGTGTATGTCCTTGCATGCCCAGCACCCCGGCTGCGCCTCCCACGTGTCGTGCGACGGGTGGCGAGGCAGCACAACGTTATCCCACGTCTGGTACGCGTCGTCGCCGTCGTAAAAGTTGAGATAGACCTACGGTGTACATGTGTTTGGGCATGAGTGTTTGTTAGGTGGGAGGGAATGAAGATGGAACAAGAAGCAAGTCGTGTGAGCACACACACGCACTGTGTGCGTGCGTCCAATGCATGATGCCGCGTAAACCACACGTGTCGCTTGAATCATTCAAACCATTCAACATCAAACAACCAATCGTCCATCCATCCATCCAACAACCAATCATCCGTCCGTCCATCCAAACCATCCAAACCATCCCACAAACCATCCATCCATCCAAACCAACCATCCAAACCAACCGACCTTGTCAGCTGAGCGATCGGTGGATAGGGTTGCACTCCACATCGGCGTGTAGTTTGGATGCAGTGCAATCACGGGTGTGTCGGCTGGCAGCCGCATGCCTTCCTCCGCTGTGAGCACAGGCGCATCCAGGTACACCTTGGTCCGCTGCATCCACTGGCACTGCCCCGCGTACCTGCCCTGGTCAAACCGCACGCACACAAGGTCCTCCGCCAGCCACGCCCTATCCACGTCGTTGAGAAGCAAACTTCGCGCCACTGCGCGGGCATCGTACCTCATGCTGCGCATGTCTGCAATAAATGGATTCACACGCATGTGTTTGGTCGAATCAAAGGGCGACGCAATCACCAACGCTGCGTGTTCAAATGCAGCCGAGGGCAGCACAGCAGCAGGGCAGTCAACGCCTTGCTCCTCACCCGTGGCACTCGAGCCAGCTGTCGCGGACGCCGTTTTGTGCGCTGAAGACATGGGGCGTGGGCCACTTCGTGTCGAGCCATTGTATGCCAAGCCATTTTGGGTTGCTGTTGCTGTTGTTGTTGTTGTTGTTGTTGTTGTTGTTGTTGTTGTTGTTGTTGTTGTTGTTGTTGTTGTTACAGTGGTGATGACTGCGTGGCACTCGGCGGGCAGGGGGAACCGCTTGCCAGTGTGCGGGCACGTGATGAGTGGTTCTGCAGACCATGCGTTGGCGTCTGCATCCCACTCGTACGTTGCCGTCACAACCGGCACCCCAACGCCGCAGTTGACGAGATCCAGGAAGTTGACGCGTCCAAGATCATCACCAGCCACCACGCGCAGACCGGGCCCAATGCTCACCGTGCCCACGCCCGCGCCCACGTAGCACCGGGCCACCTCAACCCCGCTGATGGCGTCCCACAGGCCCACCGTCTTGTCGTCGCCGCCGCACAGCACCATGCGCGCATCGGGCGTGAACGTACACCGGTACGCACGGTCCCACATGCGAAACGCGTGCAGCACACGGAAGGTGCGCGCGCAGTACACGGTGACATACCGTGCGTGGTCAGCAAGCGCAATCAGCCGGCCATCGGGCGAGTAGGCAGCGCCGTACAGCCGGCTGTTGGGCACGTGCGGATTGCGAAGTTTCTTGATGAGGCGCGGTGGCTTCAGCGCCCACACCTGTGCCCGCGACTGCCCCGTGATGACCACACGTCTGCCCGAGGGCGAGACGACGGCAATGCGGCCGGTGCCGTTCAGCAGCTCCTGTGGCGGCTCGGCAGGCTGTTTGATGCTCACCACCCGCACAGCAGCGTCGCACACAACATAGTGCTGGCCGCCAGGCATGCGGAGAATGTCGCCATTGCTTGTCATGTTGCCAAACGCACTTGCAGCGGGCGTGTCGGTCACCACCTCCCATTCTTCGCCAGCAACCCTTTCCTCACGTTGTTTCTGCAGTTGTTGTTGCTGCTGCTGTTGTTGTTGTTTGGGCTGCACGTCATGTGTTTGCTCCTCTGTGTGTTGGTGCGTGGTGCTCGCTCGGGTGTTTGAAGCCGAAGCATCCAAGGCAGCTGCTGTGGTCTTGGCCCTGAACACGCCAACCTTCCCACGGCGAGACGCCACCACCACCTCACCCGTCGGCAGCACTGCCGGTGCGCTGCCCATGCTTCCAGGGAACAGCACGCCGCTGTCACCGCTGTCAGGGCTGAACACCATTGCCCGTCGCGTGGTCGTGCGCACATCCCACAGCTGCAGCGTTGCACGCGCATTCTGCCCAGAGGACACAAACGCCTGCAGATCAGGCGTGTACACGCCACCCATCACAATCTCACCAAAGTGCGGTGGCCTTGCGTCTCCCGTTACACCTCCTACCACTGGCGCCGACGTTGATGCTGTTGCCGTTGCTGGCACTATTGCAGCTGCTGATGATGGTGTGCTTGCCTTGGCAGGGATCTCCCACACCATCAAGCGCTTGTCCCAGATGCCAGCGCACGACACAATCAGCCCGCGCCCACCATCGCCATCGCCATCGCCATTGCACGCGTCTGGGTTGGACGGTGCAGAATGAGTGGTGGTGGTGGTGGTGGTGGAGGTGAAGGATGACGCAGAGGAGAGTGGAGGAACGAGCGTGACGCAGAACACGCTCCAGGCGTGACCAACGAGGCACGCGCGCAGCGTCAGGTCCGTGTTCCACACGACAACGAGCTTATCGGCGCCACCAGACACAATGGTGTCATCACCGTATGCCACAGAGTACACCGTGCCTTGGTGAACACCATCGGGCGTGATGCAGGTCTGCTCAAACACCGCTGCACTGCCGGCGCCTGCGCGCGTGTACTTGATGAGCGCGTCTCCGTGAATGGTGATGAGGTGTTCGCCGTCAGCACTGAACGCACAGGACCGCAATCTTTACAGGGACATGTGCGGGGTAGCACAACAATTGCATGAGAGAATGAGCAATGGCGGTGGGTGTGCGGCCGTGGTGATGAATGACTTGTAGATGCAAGACAGGAATATGTTGCGCATCGTATCTCATCACGGCAGGCCCACACGCATACGAGTGCATGTACAGACCCCACAACGCCCACATGCATTCACGTACACACTCACACCCACACACACACACATACACGCGCGTTGGTATACCTGTGCGTGCGTTCGCGTGAATTGACAGCACCGCGGCGCGTGCGCTGCGCAGGCAGCGATTGACGCTCTGTTACTGAGACGGCAGCGGCGTGTCCAAGATCATACAACACATACGCAGACTGCCCGCCGAGGAGACTCCCGCTCACGTCCACCGCCAGCAACTGTTGCCTCGCATCTGCGCACACGCATACGGGCGACCCGTCCTACGTGTACATGTGTGTTGCATGGGTAGGTGCGTGAGGGGTGAATATGTGTGTGTGTTTGGTGTGTGTGTGTGAATATGTGTGTGTGTGTTTGGTGTGTATGTGTGTGTGAAGGTTGTTGGTGCGGTTGCGCACGTGTAATGCATGTGTGCGTGTGCGTTAGGGTCACACAGAAAGCCGCAATCCCTCTTGATATGGCGAGTGAGGGTTGCGGTACACACCTTGGTCTGCGCCTTGTGCAGCAGAGTGCCGTTGTCAAGCGACCAGAAACACAGTATGCCTGGCTGTGGTTCGATGGAGTGTGCCGACAGCGGAGGGTCACTGTACGTGTGCGCAGACACCATCAGCCCGGCCTTTCTCAACACCAACAGCGACTGCACAGCTCTGAAAACAAGGGAGTGATGTGGACCGCAATCCCGAGTGAGGTGAGGCAACAAGTTGGTGTCAGGTTATGTTGCATCTACAAACATGTGTGTTTGTGTTCATGTGCTCATGTGTGCAAGTGGTCATGTGTTCATGGATGGACGACCACTGCCATATCACACGCCATGTGGAACCCCTCAAGATGTAAATCCGCTCACCCTGCTTCTGCTCGTTGGACAGACGCGCACGTGCCCGTGCTGAGGCGCCACGTGCAGATTGACCCATCGTCCGATGCCGTTGCCAGCACATCGTCTTCTAACCAGCACACGTCGTTGATCGGTGCTCGGTGCGCCTACGAGTCGCACACGTGTGATGTGTGTGCATGTGTGTATGTGGCGTGTGTTAGAGCATGTCAGTGGAGGTACAAATGCTGCGAATAGAGAGATGGACACATACACACAGAGCCACAGAGCACGCACACTCACTGCAAGGAGGTTGAGCAGCGTTCCCGTCTTGACGTCCCACACGCGGAGCTCTCCATTTCGTGCACCCGACGCAATCCTGTGGTCGCATGAACACGGCAGGACCAAGCCACAAAAGGAGGGGGGACGCACCAACGGGTGAGGAGGCTGACGTGTTAGATGCAAGGGTGGGCAGTGATAACCACCCAACAACAAACGAAGAAGCCGAAACCAGCACGGAGGCAAGGGTGGCCAGTGGCACGGAAACAGCACGACACCAGAGCAACGCGACATGGCGCACCTGTGCTGGTTGATGGACGCACAGTAGACGGGGTTGGAATGGCCTTCAATGTGCATGATGCATGCGCTCTTTGACTGCGGCTGGTTACGTGTGAATGCATACCATGAACACGCCACCATTGGCATGACGTGATGTGAGCTCACACAACCACAAGCGCCAACATCGAGTCCACAAAGGGCCACATGCATACACACAGCGCTGATTGCATCAACCATGACGAACCACACATGAATGGATACAGAGCTGCAATCCCCTCCCCCCAACACCATGTCATCCCTTGTGAGGACAGACCTTGTTGATCCACTTGAAGTGGGGCAGACGGCGGCGTGCCATCAGCTGCTGCGCTTGGTCGTGAATGGGGCTCGCATTGGGTTGGTTCACAGCAACAGGCAGGAAGTTGCCAGGCTGACGGCGTTGGGTGTGGAAGCAGGGAAGCAAGTGTCGTTGACAGCAGATACAAGAAGTGCGAGAAAAAAATGGAAAGGATGAGTTGATGCAGGCAAGGGGGGATCAGGGGGCGGTGGGTGGCGTCGTTTCGATGAGAAGCACAGCGCGTGCTTAAAGTTGGATGTTTTCCCAGATCAATGCATTCGCACGCACGCACGCGCAGTGTCTGTGGCTCAGACCAACCGCACAGCCATCACGTACGCAAACAAAACCGACCAACCACACAAGCATATAACAAACGAAGCAAGCAAGAAAGCAAGCAAGCAAACACACAAGCAAATGCACGCACCAGACGGCTGAGGATGGGAAGGTTGAATGCGAGCATCTGCTTGAGTTCCTTGAACATGGCGCCGGTCGGGTGCTGTCGCAGCTGGGACGCGGACATGGCGGCCTCGCACGCGGTAAAGTCTTCCAGCAGGTCGTACACAAGCCCACACGAGCACTTGGCCTCCACAAACTCCAAGTCGCTCAGCAATGACACGCACTCGTGCAACCGTCCGCAGCGCACAAGATGGAAGGGCAGCTGCCCCACATATCGCACGTTAATGGTCGCCGCCACTTCGTCAGCACCAACAGCAACAGCAGCATCACCGCCGCTGTCATCCGCGTCAGCAGTATCATGGCCGTTATCATCACCACCATCATTACCGCCCCGATCCCCCTTGGGTGTTTTCCTGTGGGCGTGGAGAAACAGCGCGTGCTGACTCAGCGTTTTCGCCATGGCGGCGTGGGCGCCACGCACTTCCTCTTCCGTGGACAAATAGCGCTCGTGCACGGCCTGGCGAATGTAGTCGTGGAGAAACGTGAATCGCCCTGCAGCAGCCACCACGATGGTAAGTGTGAGGGCAATGAGATTGCCATGCTGGACAACGTGCGTCGACACACACACATACACACACATACACACACATGCACACACATGCACACACATGCACACACATGCACACGCATGCACACTCACCGCTCTTGACGACGAGAAGATGACGAATGGCGAAATAGAGGGACGACCACATGAATCCGCTCATGCTCAGCGCTGCATCACCATCACCATCACCATCAGCCCTGCTGTCCTGTGCGAATGTCGTCGACATGACGCCACATGCAGCCTGCAGTTCTTGCTCAAGCACGCCCTCGCGGCTGACCCCAATCAGCCGGAAGATTTGTCCAATCACACGTGCCCCACCAACAGAGCCAAAGGACTGCTCCAACCGAGAAAGGACAGCTTGCAAGAGGACTGGGACATTGGTGCAGGCGGCAAGTTCTGCAATCTTCGAGTCCAGTTCTTCAAACACGCCAAACGCAATGAGCTCCTCGATCAGCAGCGTGAGAAACAGCGGGTTACCGCACTGCGGGCTGTCCAGAATCACGTCCATCTGTGCTGCCATGAGCGTCTTGGAGGCAAGGCGAAGCCGTTGTTCAAGAAACGCCTTGCAGTCGTGGCGGGAGAGCGGTGCGGTGGTGATGCGGTCGTACGCACGTGCGCGCAGGGCGTCCTGGCAGAGACCGGGCAGGGTGGAGCAGACGAGCACAACGCCCTCGGGAAAGGTGGTGGGCAGCCAGTCGAGGCGATGCACCAGCCGCTGAGGGAGCCAGGGGAACGTCTCATTCTCAAGCTGGTTGAGTGCGTCCAGCACAATGACAAGGCGGGCGCCTGCGTGCTGCGCACGAGCTGTGTCAGCAGCCGAGGCGATGCATGCAGGCAACGCTTCGCACAGCTGCTGTGTTGTCATGCCGCTGAGCGACTCTGCCATGTCTGGGTCACAGAACACAAGAAGGCGGGACAGCAGGTTGCGAAGGGCGGTGCTGGCGGAATCGCAGCCGGTGAAGTGGCAGAACACGCGGTCGTGTGCATGCAGGGACGTGTGCTGGTGCACCCAATTTGCCAGCAGTGCACTCTTGCCGCTGCCGCTCTCGCCCTCAACAACAAGCGGCGCAGGCGAGTGTTGGTCGAGGTGCAGGTTGATTTGCCGCACGAGGGCACGGTTGCCGACATAGAAGCCACGGCGCACAGCAGCAAAGCTCGCATGCACTTGCCCGTCTGCATCCTGAGCCACACCCTCGCGAGGCAACACCTGTACCACACATGGTGCACGAGTGGCAGTGGCGTGTGGTGTGCGATGTGGCGGGCAAGTGCGAAGACGGGGTGAGATTGTGAAGGAATCGAGGACAGTTGTGTACGTGGCATGAATAGCATAAACGGATCAAAGAACAGAAACACGCCCACAGAACAGATGTGTACACCGCATACACCATATGTGTACACTGCATACACACACACGCACACACATACTGCACACGCACACACATACTGCACACACACACACACACACACACACGCACGCACGCACGCACGCACGCACACACACGCACACACACGCACACACGCACACACACTGTACACCCACCCACACATACACACGCACGCACACTCATACTGCACACACACACACACACACACACACACACACACACACACACACACACACACACACACACACACACACACACACACACACACACACCATGCGCAAGCGTACACCTGTTGCAGGGTTGCATGGAGGATATCAAACATGTGTTTGGCGGCATCCTCTGGGGCGGAATAGGAAGTGGCGGTGATGTTGAGGTGCTGCTGCTTCCACGCAAGCTCACGAATCTCCTGCTCCAAGACTCGACGCAGCTGGGCACTGTCTTCGTGCGTGTTGATGTACTTCGCCTTATGCGCTGGGTCGTGGGCATACAGCTCCGCCTTGGCTGCATCATAGGCCGGATCGCGAAAGAGAAACAGCGATGGGCGTGCACACGGGTCGTTGAGCACGCCGTGTCTGAACTCGAGCTCCGTGATGCCCTTGTCGCGGTGTTTGTCAAGCCAGGGGTACTGCGGCATGGCCCTGTCAACGGAGCAGCCGACCCAATGCGTACTGCTGTTTGACGAGCTGTGTCGTGTGCCGTAGCGGGCGCCATAACAGCCGACGAAGATGTCACACCGGTCAATCTCCTGCAGGCAGATGCGCAGCGTTTCAAATTGTGCCGCCTGCTCCTCTGTGATACCCCACCGAAGGTCAACCAGGGAGAGGGCCACGCCCTTGTTCTCGCACAGCGTTCGCAAGGAAGGCAGGTACCGCTCGACGAAAAAGGCTCGTTCCTCCTCCAGGCCCCCGAACGGGGACGACAGAAACACGGTTACGCTGGCGGTGGCCTCCACACGCGCTCGAAGAGCAGCGTGCATGGCGCTGCTGCCTGCCAGCTCGGTGCAGTGGTCACGGACAGCGCCCGTTGCGCCGTCCACTGGCACGCTGGTGTGGTCAGAAGCTGCTGCAGTGTTTCGCGGCACCGTCCCCGTCGTAAGCGCGGCCACTGCTTCCTGAAACGCACGGCACAGGCGCGACGGCAGGGCGTGTGCGACGGCAACATATAGCAGGGTGCTGTCCGGCCACGTGCCAACGACTTCGGCCAGCTTGTCCACAAGCACTTGAACGTTGCCGTTCGATTCAGCCGCTGTTGGTGGGGGAGAAGGAGGTACACGGGTTGCTCACTGTGAGCGTTGGGTAGCAAATGATAGACTCCATGATGGATCGATGGACCGATGCAAGAGAGAGAGAGAGAGAGAGAGATGGAGAGAGAGAGAGAGATGGAGAGACAGAGACAGACAGAGAGAGAGAGAGACAGAGACAGAGAGAGACAGTGAGAGAGAGAGGCACAGCGCGTCATGACGAGCGAACACAACCATGACTGCACAAAACACCCGCACACCTTGTACAGCGGTGAGGATGGCCTCTCCTTGGCCGTCCTGTCCACGCACGGCAGCACACTTGTTCAGTGCATTGCGAAGCAGCGCCCATCGCTCCGCCTTTGACAGCAACACCATCAGTGGTGGGTGTGGTGGTGGGTGGGTTGTGCCAGCTGTTGTGCCGTCCTTCTTGCTTGCTTTGTTTTTGCACGCAAAACACGTTTCAAGCAAGCAAGCAAGCAAGCAAGCAAGGCGAAGATGTGGGATGATGATGTGCACGATGACGATGGCCACGATCATGCGCTGGCGATGGCTGAGCAGGATGCTCGGGCGAGGGAGCGGGTGATGCGGAAGAACGCGTATGCAGAGGCTGCGACGAAAGCGCGTGAGGAAGCAAGACAAGAAGGGTTTGAACACGGTGTATCGGAAGGCATCAGCATGGCGGTTGAACTGGGGCGCATCCTCGGCAGCACGTGGTGCGTGTGCGTGTGGGTACAAATGCTCTGTTGCCCTGTTGTTGTGCGTATGCCCTGTTGTTGTGTGTATGCTCTGGTGTTTGTGCGTATGCTCTGGTGTGTGTGTGTGTGTGTGTGTGTGTGTGTGTGTAAGTATGTTCTGTTGCGTTTGTCTGCGTGCGTATGCGTATGTATACGTCGCTGTGTGTGCTTGCGTATGCTCTGCTGTCCGCGAGACACATAGGCTCACGCGGCCTCGTTGCACTGTGGCCGTCCCCCCCCCCGTCACAAACCTCACCATCACTTGCAGCTCCATGTTGATGTACTTCACGAGACCAGAGAACGCAGACAAGGTCTCCAAGGATGCCGTGGCAGAGATGGAGGCATTGTATCAAGACGTATACCTGTTTGACCCATTGACAGGTACCCCGCTATGCTGTGCACGTCGGTACATATGACCCTTGCTTGCGCATGCCTGTGCGTGCCTCTCTGTGCCTGTATCAGCGTGTCAGCGAAACAAAGTGCACCTCAATCTTCACACTGCCACATCGGGTTTGCTCCCGTGCAGTGGCCGACGAGCTGGTGCTGCCCGGCGAGTCTGATGCCCAGAAGAGTGAAGAAGGGGACAGTGCAACAACAACGCAGGCGCCAGAGGAGCCGCCCCAGCACGGCTGCAGTAACTGTGAATGCGGCAAGACACAAGCTGACGCGTGCTGTCAGCAGCAACCGGAAGAAGCAACAACCGCCTCATCAGATCAACCCCGATCAGCCCAGAAACCCGACTCACCTTGCCCTCCATCGTTAATGCGAGCAGCTTCCAAATCCCGGATCTTGTGCGAGTTCATGTCTGGTGTGCGCGAGCGACACCAGCGGCTACAGGCCATCATTGCAACAGCATTCCACCCCATCACACCCACACCGACAAGCCGAACAGAGAAGAGAGTATGACCAATTCCAACGGTCATTCGTTGGTGCACGTGCCACATATACACCACGTGTTTGTGTGCACAGTGCAGTCTCTGCGCCCTCATCCTCGTTGTCTCTTCCTCATTGCGGTGGTTGAGAGCCCCACACATGTAAGTAAACGAGCCCACAGCATCAAGAACGCAACAGAGGAGTCAGCCGCACATTCACACAAACACGCTGAAGAGCGAGGCGGTGCAAATGTGTGCAACAGAGAGTGGGAGATCTAGACAGGCAACCACACAAAGATGACATTTGCAGAAGTAACGGTGGGCAGCGGTGCATGTCAAAAGGACCAGGAAAGGTGTGCGTGTGTGTGTGTGTGTGTGCGTGTGTGTGTGTGTGTGTGTGTGTGTGTGTGTGTGTGTGTGTGTGTGTGTCGGGGATCAGTCGACGTCGCGCTCCAGCAAGGCCTGGTGCCTCTCAATGATATGCTGCACAATCTCGGGGTCGGACAACGTTGTCACATCACCAAGGTCATCCGTCTGGAAGGTATAATGACCAGACGTGGCAGGATCCGGGAAACATGCGCGGAGACACATGCACGGTGAGCGTAAAGATAATGAACAGCGAGGCAGGAAACAATTTCACGCAAAGTCAAGCAGGAGTCACATACCCTCAACGCACATCAAGGGCACGCGTCATGTGGACATGAACCAACGACCCTGCACCATCACGACACCACACACACACACACACACACACACGCACACACACACACACACACACGCACAACACACACACATACACACATACACACACACCAACGATGGCACCTGGTTTGCGGCGATTTTGCGGAGGATGCGACGCATGATCTTGCCGGAGCGGGTCTTTGGCAGGTCTGGCGTGATCTGGATGACGTCTGGGACGGCCAGCCCGCCAATGCTGCGTCGCACCGCCGCCTTCAGCTCGTCCGCTGTCTCCGCCGTCACGCGCTCCCCGGCCTTCAGAATCACATACGCATACACGCCTACATCATGTGTGTGTGTTTGTGTGGGAGTGAGTGAGGGAGGGAGAGAGAGAGAGAGAGTGTGTGTGTGTGTGTGTGTGTGTGTGTGTGAACACGAATACACAACCACAGTCTGCAGGCAACCTGCAACGTGCCACAATCCCCCTCTCTCCCTCTCTCTCTTCACGCTCTCAGCACCAAGCGCGTGCACACAAGACCTTGGCCCTTGACGTCGTGAGGATATCCGACAACAGCGGCCTCCGCAACGCCGCCGTGCTCAAGCAGCGCGCTCTCAATCTGGTGATGATGGTGGTGGTGGCGGTGGTGGACATGATGATGATGATGATGGTGGTGGTGGTGGGAGGGGGGGTGGTGGTGAGAACAAGGACGAAGGAATAACAGGAGAGGGCGCAGCAACTGCACGAGCACACACACACGAACACCACCACCACCACCACCACCACTGCCACTGCCACTGCCACCACCACCACCATCAAGATCATCGCAGCACCTCGGCAGTGCCCATGCGGTGGCCGGAGACGTTGATGACATCGTCGACGCGTCCCGTGATCCACAGGTGCCCGTCCTCGTCCCGCCGCGCGCCGTCACCCGTGAAGTAGTACCCCGGATACACGCCCCAGTACGTGCTCGTGTACCGCTCGTGGTCCCCGTGGATCGTGCGCGCCATGCCAGGCGTGGGCTGTGACAATAAGTCCCCATATTGGAGAATGCGCAGTTGAAGGGTAGGGAATTCATGGGCATGAACACATACGGCTAAGCAAGGCACGACGCAATGTGAAGGCACGACACACGCGCTATCGAGCTTGTGGGCAGGTGAATCATGTGTTCGCGCACGTACATGCTTCATGGCCAGAACGCCTTCCACGTTGTTGCCCTGCAGCTCGTTTCCCTGTAAAGAAACAGTCACACAGTACATGGATGAACGCAAGGACGAGCGTGTGGAAGAAAGCACGTGAGCGTTAAGCAGGACACACGGTTGATGGGGTGCAGCATGATCGGAACATGCCCATGTTGCTAGAAGCGTGGCACAACAACCATATGCCGTAGGCGGCGAATCAGTGAAGCGTACGTCATTGTCGAGGATGACAGGCACAACGCCAAGGAACGGCTGCATTGCTGATCCCGCCTTGCAGTTCTTCATACCAGGCAGCGGTGAAATCATGGCACCACCCGTCTCTGCATGAACAGGAATGAAGCCGTGCGTATGGTGAGGTGATGAGAAGGATGCAGCCGTGAATGCAATTCAGGAGCCACTCACGCGCGCGTGCGCGCACATAAAGTAGTGCGTGGGTTTGCATGCATTCACGCACCTGTCTGCCACCACGTATCGACGATGGAACACTTTCCGTTGCCGACCACTTCATGGAACCAGCGATACGCCTCGGGGTTCAGTGGCTCGCCGACTGATCACAAGCACAACGGGCAACAGCACATCGGAAGGCACCAGGTTTCAGGGTTGCATGTGAGAATGAAGCAATGACGACCTGAATGCATATGCGAGATGCCGTGATGATCGGGAGTGCACAGGTCATTACAACGCGTGTTTGCATGCACATGTACGCACGCACAGACGCGTGCACACAAGCGCGCACCTGATCCGAGGACGCGAAGACTGGAGCGGTCGTACTTGGTCACAAACTCGTCAGCTGTTTGCGGTGATGGTGGTGGTTGGATGATGGTGGTGGTGGCGGTGGTGGTGGTGGTGTAGCGTGAGAAGGCCACGGATGGGTGCGGAAACAGCCCGAACCACGGGGTGGTTGACGCAAGACACAACAAAGCCGAGAGAGGTGAATAATGCCACACAGGGTTATGGTTTGCACAGTGAGCACAGGGCAGGAGCACATGCTCCAAACCATGGTGTGACTGGCATTCACTGACAGTCTTTCATGAGGCGACGCAGGGCCGTAGGCGCCAGGTACAGTTGGTTGATTCCGTACCGCTCAACCATCTGCAATGTGCGTGCACAAAGCAAGGCGTGAGCACGCACAACGCACACACACACACATGTACGCGCGCATGTGCACGGCAAAGCACGCACGTGTGTGGGATTGACACGTGATGGAATAAAACTCATTGCCGACAAATCACGTCATGTCACACCACACCGCCACGCGCACCTCCCAGTAGCGGCCGCTGTCGGGGTAGGTGGGGATGCTCTCAAACAGCAGCGTTGTTGCACCGTTGGCAAGTGGGCCGTACACAACATCTGGCCATTGGCGTTGCGTTGCATGCGACAAATGTGACCCAGCATTGCAGCAACCAAAGCACACGCAAACACACAAACGCAACACACCGCACACCACACACCATTGCCCTACTCTTAAAACGCACATGAGTGACCCGTGATCCAGCCAACGTCGGCGACGCACGCGTACACGTCGCCGGGCTGGTAGTCGAAGATTGCGCGGTGCGTCACAGCAGCTTGCGTCATGTACCCAGCAGTGCTATGCACCAGCCCCTGTGTATGTGTGTGTGTGTGTGTGTGTGTGTGTGTGTGTGTGTGTGTGTGTGTGTGTGTGTGTGTGTGTGTGTGTGTGTGTGTGTGTGTGTGTGAAGGGTTGACTATCGCCTAGCCATCGTGGCATGTCCAACCCCCCCCCCGCGGCCCAATATGACACTGAAGCCAAGCAGGTGTCCGCCGACCTTTGGCTGCCCCGTTGATCCGGACGTGTACAGCATGAAAAGCGGCTCCTCGCTGAACAGCATCTCCGGCTCGCAGTACGGCCGTTCCTGCCCATGCGTACATGTGCGCGCGCACGTGTGTGTGTGTGTGTGTGTGTGTGTGTGTGTGTGTGTGTGTGTGTGTGTGTGTGTGTGTGTGTTGTGTGTGTGTTGTGTGAGTTGTATGTATGTGTATGGGTGAGGACTGCATTTGTGGAAGACACAGCTTTGCGTTGGGCAGATGCATCTCTCTGAAAGACACAGCTGTGCACTGAACACATTTGCCACCCAGCAACACCGCCGCAGCAGTTCTGTGGTGAACAGCGCACCTTGGCCATGGCGTCGATGAGATCAATATCACCGGCGCGGAGTCCGCCCTCAACTCCTGCAGCCGCAACCACGCAGCACACACACGCACACACGTACCAGTAGGGCCCACGATGAGACACGAACATGCACACGCACAGAGGCTCACAAGTACACAGTGCATATGTACAGCCAGGACTAGCACAAACTACATCAGCAACACACGTCCACAACCAAAACAAACACAGTACACACACACACAAACACACACACACACACACACACACACACACACACACACACACACACACACACACACACA